CCCCAAAACCCCAAAACCCCAAAACCCCAAAACCCCAATACCAATCACTCTAAATAAAATATTATAATTAAATACTCTCATGTTTAAATTTGAGACTGGCAAAGAAATGGAGAAGATCACTGTCTTCAAAAGTGGGACTAATTATGGCATCTTCAGCTTCCTGTGGCACTACCAGCCTTTTGAAAAGAAACGACTGGAGTTCACCATCCCTGAAACAGTAACTTTCCTGCACAACAGACCGAAGACTTGGGTCTTTCACTCGATTTATTCAAATAAAATTCTTAGGAAATAAAGACCAGAAAATGACAAATGAAGATATTGAAGAAAGATTCATGAAAATCAACAATAAATCAGGAATAGTAGCCGTATATTTCTACGACGAGAGAAGCAACACCCATCTTGACTGGGTCGGTATCGGTGATGATTACCTCAGGGAAGACTCAGATGAGTCCAGTCTTGAAGATGAGGATGGGAATAAGGTCACTGATGAATATAAAACTATCAGATTTGAATACCTTGATAAAGAAGGTGTTAAAGACCTTCTTCACAATAGAGTGAAAGTTAACCATGCCATTCTACAAGCCTTTGTTGAACCTGATAGTGAATACAATAACTGCATCTACGTTGATTGGAGTCGAACTCATTGAACAATCGAACGAAGATTCAACAAAGTAAAGCTTAATGATGAGAGATATTCAATCCAGCAGAGAGGAGCAACTTTTGAAAAACTTGAAGGAGTCACTGACAAAGTTGACATCACTTCAAAATCTATTCTCCAATCTATCAATGAAGAGATATTTCAGATGTGTGATTATATTAAAGAAAATTCTCCAAAGCATTATGAAATTTCTAATTTAAAATGAATGATGAAAATAGACAAGAAAGGAAGACTTAATCTCCTATGGACACCTTATGTTCAAGCTACCAAAATGGATTACCGCAGAAGTGGAAAGAAAAGTAAAAGAAGCAAGTTGAAAGGCTTAGTCTCAAAGAACCAAAGTAAGGATAAGTTTTCTCAAATGAGTTCCAAAACATTAAAACGACACTCTTCAATGACTTCGTACAAGAGCAGTAAGATGTGCTTTCTTGCCTTGCCAGACAATGTGGATGATTTCGTCCCAATCAGCAAGGTAAAACCAATTCCTGTCTTTAAGAACACGAAGTGTCCTCTATGTGGTAAGTTTACTCTCCTTTTTCTAGTCCATTGGTGGAACATAACTAACTTTAATAGAAAAACTGGATGTGAAGGAGAAAATGATTACCATTAGGTTTTCTTCAGTGATCAAAGATAGCTTAAATAAGATAAAATAAGTTACTTAAAATCCCTGCACCAAGAAAAAGCAATAAATATGATAACTCCTTTGATAGGATGATAGCCCCAACACTCGACAAAAGATGTAAAATATCGCATAAATCTCTAGACAGGTTCACCTCCACTCCAAATGAAAGTGCTATACTTCAAGGCGTAGAGCCAATCCCTGATGATATTCATAAATACGACGATATAAAGAATGACAGTAAAACTATTGACCTGTCTAAAATCGAGATCCCAGGTATGCCAATTAGGATAAGATATAGAGCTCATCATAAAAGTTTACCCAAAGATGTCCAAGCAATATTACCTTGCTAAGCTAGAAGATCCAGCATTCTTCAGTGAAAAAGCATTTATCTGTGTGAACTGATACCTTGATTTCACTTCTAATGTTGGACCAAAATAATTTCATTCAAGATTTCCAGAAGGAAAAAGGAAAAGATGGATTTCAATTTGGACACAAAACTAAGCCTGTTTCTCCAAAATTTAGCGTTCGCGATCCTTACCAAGAGGAAAAGGCAAGCATCGCACAGACAAGTGGAAGGAACTTCTTCTCAAAACGAGGTATTCTAACCAAACCTACCTCTATAGAAAACTTTTCATCAATAGGCTTAAGCGACACATCAACTCTAAAGCCCCTATTCAACACCAAATACTCCTCAAAAATGCTATCCCAGTTCATCTCAAAGCCTAAACCCCCAAAACCAAACACAGCTCGCCTCATCGAACTCAGCAAAGAAACCCGTGCTCACAAATTACCCCCCAAAACCTTCCCAAAACCTTCCCGCCCAAACATCCCACTTTCCCGAACAAAAAGTAAATTTCCCTTCAAAATTCCTACTATTTTAACCCTAATTTCCAACTTTCTTCTAGAAAAGTACCAAAAATGGCTGTCAAAACAGTACTCGAATAAGAAGAAGAGGCCTGCGAAGGAGAACAAGTACTTTTGTCAGTCAGAAACTTGTGAGCAGTTGTAGTGATAAGGAATTTGTAATTTCAACTCGTGTGGGAGATAGAGGGGTTTTGGGGTTTTGGGGTTTTGGGGTTTTGGGG